TAAATATATAATAATTACTTACTCTTATATAGCGCTTTTCTGGACACTCCACTCAAAGCGCTGTACAGGTAATGGAGACTCCCCTCCACCACCACCAATGTGCAGCATCCACCTGGATGATGCGACGGCAGCCATAGTGCGCCAGAACACTCACCACACATCAGCTATTAGTGGGGAGGAGAGCAGAGTAATGAAGCCAATTCATTTATTATGAATGAATAGATTATTAGGAGGCCATGATTGGTAAGGGCCAATGGGAAATTTGGCCAGGATGCTGGGGTTACACCCCTACTCTTTTCGAGAAACTCCCTGGGATTTTTAATGACTACAGAGATTCAGGACCTTGGTTATACATCTCATCCGAAGGATGGCACCTGTTTACAGCATAGTATTCCCATCACTATACTGGGGCATAAGGACCCAACACAGACCACAGGGTGAGCTCCCCCTGCTGGCCCCACTAACCTCTTCCAGTAGCAACCTTAGTTTTTCCCAGGAGGTCTCCCATCCAGGTACTAACCAGGCTCACACCTGCTTAGCTTCACTGGGTTAACAGTTGTGAGTTGCGAGTTATATAGCTGGTAGTAGGCAATCAGAGTTCAATACCCGGTTCAGGCACAAGTTTTTCTTCTAACAAAGAATTTTAAGAAAAATAAAATAGTAAATATTATGTACACTATATTAACATTTTTTGTTTTTCATATTCAATGTTAAGTGATATTAATAATGAAATAAAAACATGAATGACACAGAGCCTGCAACCTACATATTTAAACATTGTGATTTGTTAAACATTTCACAGGTTTTATTTGAACAATATCTAGTACTTGGTCACATTTTTAGAAACCTTAGTTTAAATCAAGCGGTTCCCAGGTGCAAGTGACTTCATAATGTGAGAAGGCATTATGCTATATTTTTTATGCATCAGTGGAAGCCTTCTGACTAAACAGGGTTCACTTTTTTCTGTCTCTTCCTACTCTCTCTCACCCACTGCGTATTGGAGACAGAATGGTTAAAAATGGGAACAAGTCAGATAGGTAGAGGGAAGGGGGAGGGGTGAAACGGTTACATGTCCTGGATAGAAAAAGTGGTTAGAAAATAGGTGGATTTACACTTGTGAAAACTGTTCCAATTTTAATGTGATATGGAAGATATTATTCAATAAATGACCTTGGATGGTCTGTAAACTGAAAATGTATAGAGGAGAGACGTTGTGTCTTTTCTTTCCAGCTTGGAATTAACTCTTATCTCCTAGTACAGATATTTGTCTACCCTGCAAAAAAAAAGGTCCAATGACTGGCTCAAAATATAGATTATATAATTAAAAAAAATAAAAATGAATTTTCTGCTTTTAAATCAAATGGTCTGTTGAATAACACACCAAAACCTGCTCTTAAAACTTCAAAATTTCAAAAATTGGAAAAATAGCTACCTCACAAAGGCTAGGACTATCAACACCAAGCTGTGTAATGTCAGGTAGAATAGAATAGAACAAAACAGTGTTGGGGATGAGACGGAATTTTCAGCAGTATGCACTGTTGTCATTGTTAAGGAACAAGTAATAGGTTTATTCCATGCTGAAAAGAGAAGAGAGAAAACACAACAGCCGAAAAATTGTGTTTTCTCTCTTTTCTTTTCAGCATGGAATAAACCTAATACTTGTTCCTTTGCATACTGCACATGCTGATGCACCTACCCACCTGAACTGTTGTCATTGTTGCTGTTTAACATAAGGCAACCAGCAATCAAATGTGGGAAATACATTTATTTGTCCTGCATCAAAGTTTAACTCATTCAGAGCACGCTACATTACAAACTCCAAGCGTTGCAAACATTCCCGATACATAACCATGTTATGTACTCTACATTGTTCTATTTTATACCATGACAGGAGAATACACACTGTATTAATTATTGTTGATGCTGGGCTTCGAGCTTTGAGTCGCCTACTTCTTCGACTATCTTGCAGAGAAAGTCATTGCCCTGATTTATGTTTATCACCTAATAAAATGGTCAACGTAGAACACGTTATTTATTACTGTGTATTTATTTTAGGGCTTTGGATTTACATTTATAATGGAGAGTCCCCATTAGCCCCAGCGGGCCAGTAGATGAGAATTCATACTATTTTAATTTATTTTTTATTAAAATCACAAATGCATGTTTAAATGCTTTTATTGATTCACAATAAGACAATGCAAGACAGAACAAAAGCATCTGTGAAATCCCATTCCCGAATGTCCCCCACTGCGCTCAACAATCTTAGGAAGAACATGAAACAGCCTGTTAATAAAATTGTTGCAACTTTGTTCTGTCAGCTCTTCCTCCCAGAACTTGTAAATCGCTTTGATGAGTTTACAATTGGCACTCAGAGATTCTGACTGAATTAATTCCCCTCATTTAGCTGAAACGGATAAAGAAATGATGCAGTAATTATATGTCTTGGAAGGCACTCTGTTTTATTAACAGACATTCCAACTGAAACCTGTGTTGTACAGTGATGGGTAACGTCATCCCCATTAAACAATGTTCTTATCGCTCAAATCCTGCTAAACTAGAAATTAGACACAAGAAGACAATAATTGGACAATGTTGTGTGGCTCTCTGTGGTGGAATTTCTCTGTAAACTGAAGAGTTATAGAGGAGACACATTGTGAATCACCTCTTTTTAAACTTGTAAGAACATTCCAATGTTAATGCGACATGGAAGATATTATTAATAACGTTTTAAATCTGAAGCTGTTAACTCTACTTCACACTTGCATGTCAAGATCACGGTTTCAGAATAAAAAAACATCAAACCTTAGATTGGATGAGAACGTCATGATTGTTTTGCTAGGATGTAAAATGTTACAATTTATTACAGTTACCATCAGGGTAAAAACGCCAATGTAAACGTCATATTTACAATTTGTTAAAAATAAAAATGTAAAGCTCTCTAAAGCTTTCTCAGTCAAGAGGTGACTCAGTTTCAGGTGTGAAGAATACAGATTCCCAATTCAATTGCAGCCTAAACCTTTCCCCACACACCCTGCCCCTGCTGCGATTGGAATATGCACAAAGCACTGAAAGCTTTACAGTAGATGATCAGGTGTTTCACAGACATATGGATAGTACATAATTCTGGATTTATTAACTCAAACCTGGGATTCGATTACTTTAAAATAAGTTTTTTTTAAAATGCACCAGGTACTAGATCTTGTTTATATTAAAGTTATATCACTTGGCAGTGGTGGATGGTTAGTGGATGGTGCGCTATTTTGACAGCAACCTGCTAATCTGCTTAACACCTGTAGAAAACATGATTTTATTTCTGTACAGAATGCGAGTTGTGTTTACAAAATTAAAGTGCTTCAAATGTTAAGTTAAGAAGTAAAAAGAACTTACAGCTTACACAAAGACTCAACTATAGTATGGAAAAACGAGGGTAAGAAAAAACAGGACATTTGATTGCTGGTTGCCTTATATTTATTTTTAAAAATGAAATAAAAAATAAGATACAATGACGTGTTTCTGCCTAACTCAAACACTGCGTGACTTTAAAAGCTGTAAAAAATTGTTTAGATAGCAAAAAGTCACCTTGCTCTTACGAGCGTCTCTGTTAAGCAGAGTTTGTGTTATCTTTGTCAGTGAAAAAAATGACCACGGGCACCTTCCCCCCAGGTTGTTTTAAAAAAAACTCGCTCATAAAGGCTAATCCTTTAGTCATTCTCTCTGATGCAGTGCAGCAACTGGTCAGGTGACTGAGGGTGGCACATTATTTCCCACTGCATTCTGCGGAACGTAGTTTTGACAAGAACCTCCATCTTGTCTCCATCTATTACTCTCTCACAATTCATCTTGCGTATAATATGGGAATATAATTCCCATAGTAACGTACTTTTTAGAATATGTTTTTAGAATGACTTAAACTGATGCAGACATTTACAGAGAAAGTGTACTACTGTGATAATTTGAGCTATATGAATATACTTATATAATTATTTATTTCTTTAGATATGCGATTCCATATTATATTCCCTATTAATCAAATTCTAAAAAGTATGTTTTTTTACTGCGATAACGAGCGCATAGAAAGGCTAAAACATGTATGTAATCAAATGAAAAACTTTGATGCTTAAAATGTTTAGTAAGAAAGTGGAATACTGGTGTATGCTTTTTATTTAAACTACCAATACAGTTTGCATAATATGTTTATGTTCCTAAATTTATATAGTTTATGACCTTCAGACACATTATGCTCCTCCTCTTTTTATGCTCAGCTACTAAAATTTCCCTGTAGTTGTAAAATTCCTTATAAATATTCAATATTAAGCAGATTAAAACATGCACAGTAAACAGATTAAATGATTAAATTGTTCCACAAACAACCAATGCGCCACGGGTGGCCCTGTCAGTAATTTTGGCCAGCCAATCATGTACTGTAGTACTGTACAACACGGTGAACTGTAGATAATTTTGTGCAGTATGGGGTTGTACAGTGCATTTTGAATGGCTGCATACTTCAACAGACTAAACCATGCAAATGCCAAGATATACCATAATAGAATGGAATGTCTAATGCAGTGCACTTTGATTTGTACTTAGGTTGTTAACATAGTTTACTCATGGTCTAGAGAAACACAGCAAAGGCATGATAAAACCTCTAGTAAACTATAATAAAAGAAAGTGTGATAAACTGCTGATCAATTCACTAAGATAAACCTTAATAACCAATATAAAAGAATCTCCCAGGGTTGAGAAAATGGGACACATACAGTATTCGATGTGATCTGCAACAGATGTTTTAGAATGTAATGATGAGTTCTAGCTATGAATCCAGAAATGCTGTTCATCTTAAATGTAGAAACATGGATTTATTTAAGAAAACTTCCACAGTGTACTAATCTTTCTTCTCCTGATATTAAATTATAGAGTAGTGATATTTCTTGAGTGTTTCTGTAAGATTCTCAGTCACCCATTTGAAACAGCACTACCAGCCTCTAGTTTTCAGTGTTTACCTGTGCAACCATGTGGCCTCCCATTTGCTGCTGTGGCTGCTGTGGCTGGTGCTGTTGCTGGGATGCAGGTGCATTTTGCTGTTGAGACTGCCCCACTAGCTGGTTTCTGATTGGCTGCTGTCCAGTAGGTGGGTTGTAGATAGCAGGTGTGCCATCAGGATTGACAAATGGCTGACCTACAAAAACAAGATGAAGCAAAAACAATTCAAGTCAAATTTTAGCACATTCAGTCAAATTAAAAGTGACAGATATAAAAGGTAATATTTTTTTTCCATATTGTCTATTCTGCCATATTTCCCTTGTTAATTGCATAACTGTCAGCACCATTCTGAGAATGGACAGAGAAAAGCAACATGTATTTGATTAATATTCACCTTTTTTGTCATCTGCTTTGCTGGAGATGTGATTGTTACAAATTAGTATCCAGTCAATTTAAAAGGACAAACAAAATGATTTTGAAAAGCATTCACCTAATGACATACACTGCTTAGGCTTGGTAATTCCTTTTCTTCACAATAATGATATTAAGATATTTATATAATGCTTTATGGATCTATGGATGGGTTTTATTTTGAAGAGACAGAGCAATAGTGCTCTAAAGCCAGTAATGTTTAGTATATATTGAAAAACGGGGTGGAAGACCCCAAGTGTTCCCGTCTTTTCTCAAGTCCAAGGTAAACTGGATTTAAAAGTTGTATTGCCTTAACTACTACTTATCTCCTACTACAGTACTTAACACAATATGTTCTGCATGAGATCAAAGATGATAATATTAGAAAACAAAGGAACAAAAAGTGTGATCACAGGAATTTGTTTTACATTGAGTTAATAAGACTTTTTGATGACTAAACACCATGAACCTGTACTAATGACGGCAGTTGCATATTATTTCAATTAACCTGAAAGAGCTTTTAAGTAAAAAGCAACAATTTGAGCCTCTTTATTTGGATAATGTGATTTGTTGATATGTATGTATGGCCAATTTTAGCTTTACCACCCAGATGGCCTTGACATGTACAACAAAGCAGAGATGGACGGGATGAACTGAAGTGGATTTTCATGAAGTGAAAATAAAATGAGTTTCTTTTGCAATTGAAATACAGCGGAAATGTTTAAATACTGTATATTTCTCAATTTTATAAACTGTAGTTTTCTTTTTATTTTACACAACATCAAAATAATTGTTTATCCACATATTCTAGTATTTGAGACACAGTCACTTAATTGTAAACATAGGAAACTATAGCTTTTCAAAGGTATTTAATATGGCAATAAAAAAAGCCTTTACTTGTTTATGGGGAGCCTGTTACCTTATTAAACATGTATTTAATAATGTATTAACAATCTGATGACATTGAGTTCACAAGCTTTTCCAGTAAAAAGAGATAATTAACTTAATAAATAATACTGGAGAGCAGCACTGTGGCATGGTAGTTAGCACTGCTGCCTCGCAGAACCTGGGTCCTGGATTTGAGATTGACTTGGGGTATCTTCTTTGTTTCCTCCCTCCTCACCAAATTATAAATTAAATATCCCTATAAGTGTCTTCCTTGAGATAGGCAGACATTCCACCAAGGTGTATGCCTGCCTATAAATGACGCTTACCTGAAATTAAGAGCTTTTTGACTTTCTGGTAATGAATGAATTGATAATAATTGGACCTCTATGATTTGGAACTAGTACATAAATACATGGGGTATGCACATGCGCTTAAAATATATTTAAAATTCCTAATTAATAACTGCTTTTTTCTATATATTGGCAAAGCAGAGAAGAAATTACATTTATTATCTAAAATATTTATTATCATTTACATATATTTAATATATTCTGCCTTTGTTGTTGTCTGGTTTTGAAACTTTAAAAGTGTTTTACAAATATATTTAATTGTAATAGTATAATGTGTGTTTAAGATGCTGAAGGAAAAATAAATTGCTTTGGGCTATTTTTGTGCTCCATTTTTTAGATGTCATTTAATAGTAGAGTACAAAAGAAAGGTAGTTTAGTCCTGAAGGATCCTTTCTTTTCTTAGCCCCCAAAAAAGTAAAGGGAAAGCCAAAGGAGAAAGAAAGTTTCACTGCTGGCTTAAAACAACAAAGAAACAGACAAAATGTTAAAAGTGAGCAACTGAGTATTAGATAAATAACTTTTTTACTCACCTGTGTGTGGGTTGAGGAGAATACTGCCTGGTGGGATGCCTGTAGCCTCCAAAGACACCAGAATGTAGCTTGGACTGTTTTGAGCTACCTGCCCACTGAGTGCAGTTGCATCTGGGTAGGGGACAGTGCCAGAGGAACTGACACAAACAGAAGGCAGGAGTGTTGTGCTCTGCATTGACAGGTGAGCCCTGGAAAGTGAGCCTGAGGAGCCGCCACTGCTGGAAGACTCAGAGCCTTTCAAAGAAAGAGAAGACCTCAGTTACATAGATCCCTTGCAGGAGAAATTCAACAGCAGTTTAGTGGAGGACTGTCAGAATTATTTATTTTCTTTCAAATCCACTAGTTTCAAACATGTATATTGTTGTACAAATGCTTTGAAATCAAAGTAATGTTTTCTGAAAGAAGACCACACATTCTGACTTCATGCCAGGGCAGACATTACAGATTTCCACCACATGGTTTCACCACAGTGAGACAGATACAGATGGACCACATCATTAATAAGGCCCATTCTCAACTTTAAGCATCCAATGGTACTGAAGTACTGAAAATAATCTGAACATCAATTCAATTAAATGCTTCCAAGTAAATAACAAAGACTAGCTAAATCAATACCATGCTTTTAAAATTTTTTAGCATCCAAAATGAAAATATTTAATAAACTACCATGATATTTTCTACCATGCATGCGGCTCACAATCCAAAAACAATCTCTACTTAAAAAAAAACACATTTTTCCATTGGAAAGCTAGGATGCCTTTTACATAGTTTTTGTTATGCAAACACATGAGAACTAAATCATACATCACCTACTGTATGACTGTATTGGAAACTGAAGTTGCATTTCATGGTTTACAGATGCAGCCATTCAAAATGGGTGAGGTATTTCGTGGCATACCCCGGTGGGCGTGTCGCGGTGTCGCGCGGTATCACGTGGTGTCACGTATCATTTGACGCTCTGCCAGAAATTATCCGGCGTCGCCTTGTAATTCCGCCAGGGGGAGCTTAACCTCTCATTTACAGCATTTGAGCCTTTAATTTTGAACTGTGTATTACAGCATGTTAATCATCAGTCATTAAAATGTTGGTATATTTTATGAAAGCAAGATTGCTCAGTT